TTTAAAGAAAAGTGAAAATTCTTGTTTCTTTTATAATAGAAATCCTGTAATCCACAACTTCCTTTAATCGCCATAATGTTTCTATAGACTCGTATCCTAAATATACGTATCTCGAATATTCTTCTTAATTTTTATAACAGGAAGACTGTTGACTTTCTCAAAATATAATTTAAAGTTGTCTATATTCAACATGGGATCGTTAATTTGCTGGGGAAAGCAGAAGTAGTTTTCAATAACTCCCCGATGATTGCAAAACTATTCCAATTTTCTTCACTTAAAATTATAGAGACACCATTTTTCCACCGATTATAATTTTCGGGGATAAATCTTGATTACTTATACCAACAATAACAAACTTTGACGAAGATTTATTCAAAAGAAAATTTTTGAATTTAAAAGATTTTCAAAATTTTTAGAAGACATGGTGAATGAACTAAATGATATTAAGTTCTTCTCTTACTTTAATATTCAAACCCCTACCATTTTATATCCCCACCTATTCATATCGATCAACTTATGTGCATTGCTTATTGTCTATTCACAACAACAATGTTTTAAAATGAAATTGATTATTGAAAGTATAAATTTCCTGTTTGAAATTTATAATAAAAAAAGATAATTAAAAATTGTGATATACAAAAATATTGTAAACGTTAAAAAGAGATTAACGATATTAAAAGTGTTATATCCATTATTTTTTTTCATTAATAAATTTAGTATAGTTGAATGATTCATTTTGAAAATGTGTATATTTTTAATTCGGATCTTCCTTAATCCAATTAGTATCAAAAATGGTTTGGCTTTGAATAATGATATAAAACTTTAAAAACCTACTAGCATTTTCTCCTTTGTTTATGTGATACATAAAACTAATTGTATTATTATTAATTAAACCAACTTTTCATAAATTGGCAATTTTATCAAGGGTTATATTTGTCTCTATTAGGAGAAACATATTTCACATCGTGTTACATTAGGAGGGTAATGAACATAAATAATGTTTTGAAAAATGAAATAAAGGAGTATAAAATGGGTTTGAGAAGCCATTAAAACAAAGTAAATACTGTATCAATTTATTTATTCAAAATTTACATCTATTCAAGAGGATAGCCCAATAACATTTGAAACTTTTTTAAATAAACTAATATAAATACATTTTGCTATAACAAATATATATTGAAAACAGAGGTAAATTAATACTAAAATCAATAAATTTTTACATTTCAGAAATATTTTGTTTTTGCAATTTTATTTTGTTTAGCAATAAGCATTCATTTAAGTTACATGTTGGTGCAAATTTATAATGTTCTTCGATAGGACAATCATCATGGATCCAATCATAAATTTCTACTCCACAATAGTAACATTTACAAACATCATTATATGAAATAGAGTAAAATCCTGCTCCAGCTAATATCTCAGGTTTTAATCTACCTTTCCATTTTTAAAGGTAGAAAGCCTTGTATCATATGTTTTATAAGCAACATTATCGATATATTTATCAAAGCTTTCCAAACACATCTTATGAACGATCAATAGAAAATAAAATAATTTAAAAACATACTTAATATAAGTATATTTATTTGAGAACATTAGCAAGTGAAATATAAAATATGTGGTGGACTAAAATAATTGATTACTAAAATTTACAACTATGTAATCTTAATTACATGTATATCCATTTTTTATATACCTATATAAAACATATATAATAATAATTTATTAAAAAAAAATATGTGATTAAACTACTAATATAATATTAACAATATGTTTGATATAATATTAATTATAAAAATACATCTAAATCGGGATGATCAGCGCTCCACTGGTAAAATGGAATATCCTGGTGACCCCAAGCGAGTGTTTTATAATCATGTGGAATTTTATATCGCTTCGTATCTTCTGAACTTAGCGCGATTTTATTTACCAACTCGGTAAAAAATTGTATGTAGTCGAGAACAGAAACACATACATAGAGAGCAAAATTTTTAGAGTTATTTTCTACAACATCTTTGTAGTGGATAAAGTCTAACTGATTTTTAATAGTAGGTTTCTTAATACCTTTAGCTTTTTTTAAGAGACTATTTTCAGTTTTTATGCAATATGCTTTTGCTCCCGTACCGTAGAATGTTGTAATAGGTTCACCAGCATATTCATCTTTAAATTTACCAATTACTGATTGTGTTATAGGCATGTTGTGTATATTATTAGGTAAGTAATTGGATGTATCAAATTTATGAATATTCTTTTGCATATCATAATAAACATTGTCTGTTTCAATTTCAAGAATAAAAGAGTCAGTGTCTGTATACAGAAGAGAAACATTTTCTTTATATAGAGGTTTTAAAAAGTTGTAAAAGAAATCGTACATAACAGTTTTAGATATATCTAAAACGCAAAATCCAACATATATTGGTTTATTATAAGTAACAGATATTCTTTGCATTTGAATAGCTACTAGATTTTCTGTGAATATTGTCAGATCTTTGAAATATGGTTTTGCAATCAAATTTTCAGCACCATCTTTCCTTTTATTTTTTTCCCATTCAGTAACAAGCCTGACATCGTTTCTCCTATCAATATTTTCCATAGTTTTTCCGTATATACTATTATTTGCTAATTTATATGTATGACGTTCAAATTCATTTCTAGACTCATTACGTAATGTTGTATTTAAATCTATAAATTTTTTCAACCAAGCAGATTGCGAAAATTGTAAAACTCTATGTATTTTAGTTAACTTAAGTCCATTTTGTAGACATTGTTGTAATAACTGGTAATGAATAACATATTTGGATTTGCTATTTAAATTAGGTATTAATTTTGTGGAATTTGAATTGGGTGGTTTATAGTTCTCAGGACAAAAAGGAAAATCATTGTGATGGTCATGGAGATTTTCAGGATATTCTAAATCAACTTCTAGCACAAATCCTTTTTCAGAAGTGTTAGAAATAGAAAAAATATCTAAATTTTCTATTTCTTTTTCTGTTAACCACTTAAAATCCCCTGTTGGTAGATACTGTGACATTGCAAAACCGTATAAATTTGTTGCATCATAGTACATTATGTATTTATGTGGTTTTGATGCATCGTAGCTTGAAAGAAAAGGATTATTTGCTTCAGATTTTCTTGTTATACAAGAACTAACCCCACCACGAACGCTATTTTTGAAAAAATGCAACATATCCGGATCAGTTAATAATTCCAATTCTATGCCTGTATATCGTAAACTAGCTTCCCAGCTTAACCCGGGAAAAGTATAAAAGTGTGCAGGGTCTAGTTTGTATGTAGATAAACAAGTTTTACGGAAATTTTCAAAAATATCTGCTAAAAGTAAAGTGTCTGATAGTAAATATATATCTGAATAATGACCTATACATTCGCACTCAAATAAATTCCATACTGTTTGGGCTCTTTCATATTCTTCATCAGAAATGTGCTCATCTGTTATGTTATTGTAAAATTTATCTTTTTCTGGCAAATATGTATCATCTAGTTTTTCAAAACAATCAATATAACTATAGGGAAACACACCTTTCTGACGAATAAGCTGAAATTTTTTATCATCATCGAAAAATTTTTTTATTTCTACACATTGTTCATCTTTCAGGGTATCTGAGAGTTTTGATAAAGAAAATGATAGAAACTGAAATGAGTCAATAAATCTCAAGGACAATTTCTTTCGCTTAATAATACTGATATGTTTGTCAACGTAACAATCTACGGGGATAGATTTTTCAAAAGATATGTATTTTTCTTTGTTATGTGCAATTACTGTTAATTCCTCTTTATTTAAACATAGGTTTTTGATAAATAGGTGGCAGTCGTAATTACGTAAGTTGTGCATGACAACTGGAATATAATTAGGAGTTTTATATTTTATGTTACATAAAGAATGAGCTGGTCCTCTATAGTTTCCAGTAATGTGACAGTGGTCGGCAACTTTATCACTTAAAAGTGGTTTATCACAAATATGACAGTCTGTGGCATAGTTGTGTTTAATTTTTTCTAATTCCGTCAAACTATTCATTTTTTTAGGATTTTTTAAAAATGTATGATACAAATTTAATACATCTTGTTCTAACAAATTTATAAAAACTTTTTCACAGTTAAAACCTCTATATCTTTCAAATTTCGAGAATGCATCATCAAACGAGCATTTGATATAATAAGCAAAAGAATAAGGAATATGTTCAAATTTTTTTAAGGTATAAGAACTATTTGGATTTTCATCAATATTTCCATTATTTAAAGGTTTTAAAATGCATTCAAAATCCGCATACACTATAAAAGGAACTTCCATTTGTTTATGATAATTTATGTATTTTAATTTATTTTCATAGATTTCATTTCCATACTTATCTGTCACTGGATCTTTCGAAGGTAAGTTAATTCTAACATGATCACAATCATGCTTACTATGATATTGTAATTTTTGTTCTGTTTGATAGTATTGAAGACAACCATCACATAAATGTTTTTTTCCGTGATGTTTGCTCAATTGAGTGGAAATTAGTCTAGAAAAATCAGCAATGTAACAATAATGAAAATTATCGTCATCATCATTTATCAAAAGCAAATTAATATGTTTCTCTTTCTTATCACATGAATAATATAGAGGTCCAATTACTTCATATTTCTGATTATTAGAAATTTTATCAAAATACTTTTCTAAACCGTAAACATTAATAGAAATATTGTTTTGATTCTCAAATTTTTTTATGTCTTTTAATGACATAGGGAAATCAATACCTGTGATGTTTAAAACTGTTGAATAGTGCGGGTATGATGATATGTCAAAATTAGGTCCTGTTGGAATGTGAAGAGCTGCTACTACTGACCATGCAAAACAGTAGTCATCATTATTTCTTATGTTAACAACAGCGTTGCGTCTTGAAATTTCAACTGGAAGTTCAATGAATGAGGATGCCTTCAGAGGATTGAATTTATTTATATTAATCTCCAAGTAAAGAAGATTAAGTAGAGCCCATCCTAAAAAAAAAAAAAAAAAAAAAAAAAAAATAGCAATAAAATAATTCTTGCCTATTGACTATGAATATAACTTACCAGAATCCCTTTCTGCAAATTCGTCAGCTTTTTTATCAATAATTATTATAAGTTTTTCCATTAAGTCTTTCGTTTCGGTGCCTTTGCAAATTACATTGAAAGGTGTATTAAATGATTTAACATCATAATTTTCACTAGTGGGGTTATAATAGTAGCCAAAAAGTTCCATATTAATTTTAATACATGTATGTTTATTCAGCTGATAGTCTAATATGCATTGAATTTTTGATTCCAAATGTTGAAAATATTGTTTGACATCTAGAATATTTTTTTCTGTAGTAATTCTGTATGACACTATTCGTTCCTTAAACGCCGACTTAATAATTTGAACTCCTTTATCTTCTATCATTTTAGAATTGTTTTTGTGAAAGTTGGATAGTAAATGTCCTACCCACATATTTGACAAAACTGGCACATTACAATCTTTACAAAATCTCTCTGTAAAAGGAAATATTTATAAGACTAAAATTGTAAACTAGTGAGAAAATGTCTTACCTTTTTTTTCATTCACAGTAGACTTTGCAACCCTTTGATTGAAAAATCTTGACTTGCTACAGGCAGTCCTCATATGACGTAATAAGTTATCTTTACGACTAAAAGATTTACTACAAGATGTGCAATTGAACATGTTGATATTTCAGTCCTATAAAAGAATTATTTATTTTAACTGACTTTATTAAGATACTATTATGTTGCATCTTTGATGATCTGATAATGAAAGAAATTTGGAATAGAAATTTATGTCATATTGAGTAGTCAGTTTGTTAGCGTTTTTGGTTGTCTGTTTTGCGGTTTATGTGTTTGTTTATTTTTATTGTTGGTTATAATTTACTATATATGTGAATTAAATTTAGACAGACAGTTTTTAGCGTTTTTGGTTGTGTGTTTTGCGGTTTATCTGTTTGTTAGTATTTTTGTCTATTTTAATTTTATTGTTGTTGTGTAGAGCGTTTTTGGTGGTCTGTTTTGTGGTTTATGTGTTTGTTATTGTAGTTTTTATATTTTAATTTTACTGTTGTTTGTTGTATTTTTTTTTTACTATATATGTGAATTAAATTTAGACAGACAGTTTTGTTAGTGTGTTTGTTGTCTGTTTTGTGGTTTATCTGTTTGTTTATTTTTATTGTTGGTTATAATTTACTATTTATGTGAATTAAATTATTTAGACAGACAGTTTCGTTAGTGTGTTTGTTGTCTGTTTTGCGGTTTATCTGTTTGTTGGTATATTTTGTCTCTTTTAATTTTATTGTAGTTACTGTTTGGTTGTTGGTTGTGTTTTTTCTGTGCGTGTTTTCTGTGTGTTTTTTCTGTGTTTTTACTGTTGTTACTATTTTGTTTATATTGTATAATGTTTATAACGAGTTAAATTTGAAGAATGTTATTTTTATTTTAAGTGTAAAATATAACTAAAAACTGGACAAGTTTTTGAATAAAAAAGTCTTAATTCTATTAGATGAATAGGTATAAAACTATAACTTACCAAATCTATAATATATATTAACTTTAACTGACACAGATAATGTTTACCAAAACTTAATTGTAATGGACGCGAAATTTAAGTATCGTTTTTGTCTTTCGCAAGCCAAACCACACCTAAGAACCACACAAAGTAACTGGTCGATGGAGGCGAGGTCGATCTGAGATTATATCTGCAGGTATCTTGTTCTCGGTTCTCTCTGAGATCGTTGAACCTGTGATACTGGTTTTATTTTTTAAATTTTATATTAGAGATGAGCAATGATTTGAAATATCGATAAAATGTTTTATTAAACTGGTTGTGTTGTTGTTTGCTTGTGTGTGTGTTTAGAATTAAATGAAGTGTTTGATGGGAACATTGGATAAAATCTTAGAACTTATTTTTAAATAATATTTATTGTCAAATCTGATTTTTACATTACTGTTACATCCAACTTTTTACATGATATGAAATAAAACTGCAAATATTTATGGTCACATTTATTTTAATATCCTTTTTATACTCTGGACAAAGTAATATCTAATTATATCTTTTCGAAACTGCACTAAATATTTATAATATGAACCACATAGTGGACACTTAGTTGTCATTTTTGAATCATAACGTACATCGTTCCATGTTAATATACAGTTTAAACAAAAAAATGGGAACAAGTATTTGGCACACAAGTTTCGTAGCAATCAACCATGTCGTGACAAATTGCACAAAACAACCGCTTAATTTCCTCTATATTTTCTTTTGTATCTTGTTCGCAGGTTATAGATTCTTCTTCTTCCCTAGGAGGAGATTGTAATACACTAAGTATAGATTGATGTTGAACAGTAAAACTGGTCTGTTGAGAGAGTAAATGATTTTCTTCCGTCATTCTGACCTAATACTTACTACTGGATGTTTTTACTATATATGACTGGACATTGATATGGTGGGGGTGAAAGTAAGTGGGGATAAGCGTGAATCTCTCTCTCTCTCTCTCTCTCTCTGTCTATATCTCTCTCTGTCTCTGTCTGTCTCTGTCTGTCTGTCTGTCTGTCTGTCTGTCTGTCTCTGTCTGTCTCTGTCTCTGTCTGTTTCTCTTTCCCTCCCTCCCTGCCTAAGGATATGCTCGATATTTGTAAATGTTAATAATATATCGATATTAATATATTTTTGTTTTTATTCACTCATCTCTATAAGCGAAAAGTTCATACCAATACCGAAAAGATCCACCACCTCCTCTTAATTTATGAATTCCTGCTCTTTCTTCTTGTTTGTTTATAACCTCCTCCTCCTCTGAATATGGGGTAACCTCCTCTCTCGGAGGAGGTATCCCATAAACTCACTACTCTTAAAAATTCTTAAAAACCACCTAGGACTACAACCGACCCTATAGCCTACAACCCAACGCTAGGTCGCCAAAATATTCCAAATAAAAATAAAATAGTGATGTGTCAATAACTTATATTTAGGACTTACTTGAGCCAGTGACGTTTGGTAACGGCTGTGTGACAGCAGATGGCGTCGTACTGATCGGCTAACCAAACGATCAAAATAACGTAGAAGGCCGTGGTGGTGTCGTTGAAGAACTCCGACATGATCGCTTCAATTCCTGAAACAAAAGCCAAGTTCAAGGAAAATAAAGAAGTAGTTCTTTGATTTATATTACGATGACTTATAAAAATATATTGTATTTTCTTTAAAAGAACCAATTAAGGCAAATTAATTTTCTTCACTTCCAACGACAGGTTTCTGCCTAATAGGTTTATCATATACCACACTATCAGCTCTGCGAAATATGAAAAGTAGTTTTTCAAAAGAACGCTACACGAATAAATACAAATTATGAAACATTCTTATCACATATCTACCAATTTTTATTTTATGGCATTTTTTCGCCTGCTTTTTATCCGTCGGACGGGTATACGCTAATTCGTCCGGTTCTGCCTATGTTACTACTACGGTGGTCCGGTTTGTATATCCTTAAATATCTCAAAAACCAAAGCTTTTAAACATATTAGACCTTTATAATAAATGCCTTATTTTATGTCCAAGAATTCAAAAATGAAATAAAATACCGGGTGTTCCATAAGAAAAAATATACCTTTGGTATGGATCTTAGTTCTGACACACCCTGTATATTTCAAAATAATTTTAAATTATGCACATTGCCTTCCAAGATATGCCCATAAAATATGTTGTTTCTACATCTTTCCGTTTTCGTATAATCAACTGAGGTGAATGCGATGCACCACCCTGTTTATTTTTTATAATACAATTATATAAGTATTCTTGCCACTTAACTGCTGATACAGAAATTTAATTCTGCGCTGTGTTTGTCATAATGTGGATCAACCTGTTCTCACTACCGGTTTCGGAGTCCTACTCCATCATCAGGTGAGCTTGGGCAGATACACAAAATGACAACCATAGCGCAGAGATAGTTAATTCCGACTTGTCGGAAAGTGTCGGTTAGATATTATGTCCCGAACGGGAGATAGCGGCCTGCGTGCAATGGTAGTACTTTCGTACCACCGCGGCACACTATCAATAGTAAAAGGATGGTAAAAGGCTTTTTTTCAGGCAAGCCAAATTATAAAATAGAAAACAAATTTCTTGCAGTATAGGTATATAATAAAATTATATAAGTATTCTTGCCACTTAACTGCTGATACAGAAATTTAATTCTACGCTGTGTTATGGATGTCATAATATGGATCAACCTGCTTTCCGACAAGTCGGAATTAACTATCTCTGCGCTGTGGTTGTCATTTTGTGGATATGCCCACGCTCACCTGATGATGGAGTAGGGCTCCGAAACCGGTAGTGAGAGCAGGTTGATCCACATTATGACAAACACAGCGTAGAATTAAGTTTCTGTATCAGCAGTTAAGTGGCAAAAATACTTATATAATTTTATTATATACCTATACTGCAAGAAATTTGTGTTCTATTTTATTTTTTATATACGTCAATCCTTATAACCTATAATATTCTTCAATTTTTTTGTTCGAAACCTTTCAACGTACACGTCACATCACAAAACATATCTACAAGTTTCGGTTCTATTTGGACCTCGAAAATATTTCTGAAAAGATGAAAAGAAGAGGACGACGTATATAGGGGAAAACGGCGCGGCGGGAAAAACGTACAAAAGTCGAGAGAGGATTATATCTGGAAACGGGCTCTAGCAACCAGTTGCTATTGCGACCCACGTTCCAAGACCTACGGTGCCCCCTCTTCCCCTTTCATTTCCCCTTCTACCCCCCCTAACTCCTCCACCCGCCGGCGCCGCGCCGCTCGACTCCTCATTTCTTACGGCTCGGCCTTGTTATTTTTCCCTCTCGACGGAAAAACACAAAATACAACGTTGCCGATCGGCGGCAAAGATAAAAAACGATATTTTTCCGGTTTTATATTTTTAGCAAAAGGGAAAATTATCGGATTAACGAATTTAAAAGGAAAAATCGACGGCGGATGGGCTTTTATTAAGGGAAATCAAATTGGTTAGAAAATGAGACGACGGAATACCGAACCTAATTATAGAAAACTTGGGGGAAAAAAGTAAAAGAAAATGTATCTTTGATTTCTTGTTTGTTTCAGTAAATATGTCAATAAATATGAGATATGGAAAAAGGTAAGAGTCCTATAACTTACAATTGTGACTTGGATTGGATTCGAGAATTTATCTCTCTATTATTAAGGTGCGTACAGAACAGACGAGACGAGCGCGAGACTCCTTCCATCTATTTTTTGAAAGAAAGAATTTGTAGATTAATGTAACTTTTATCCGCCACTCATTTTCCAAATATCCAGTTTATAATTGGGTATAGGCAATCTAGATATCTCATTTTTAGAAAAACGATGCTTTCCATGTTATCTTCCATCAATCTTCGTTTAAATAAATTGAACGGCTCATATTTATGTGTATTGCAAAACAATATATTTAATGTTAAATCAAGAACAAAGTCCAAACCACTGTCAAAAAAAATCTTTATTGGTAACCGGTTTCGGCAATTCCAGCCATCATCAGACCTTAAAAATTGATATAAACAATAAAACTTATATAAATGTATAAAAGCAAATGAAATTTTTATTTGATTTTATTAACTTTTATATACAGTTACTTCTGTTCGCGACAGACGGAACTACGACTCTAGGAGCGCGACGGCTGGAGCGAACACGTCGCGATCGATATCGCGCGACGCTACATATATACCAGTTCCAGTTACTACTGTTGGCGACCGACGAAATCACGACCCTTCTTCAGTAACATGTTCCTGATAGGTTGTGGAGCGCGACACGACGGACGTTACAAAAAAATACCGCTCCAAAATCGCGTTACTCAAATACCGACTTCACTAATAACTAAGGAACAAGGTTTGTGCCGCGAGGTTTCATTCCTAGTGATTGGTAATATTTACTGAATTTCCGACATTTGCTCCTTGTTTCCATATTCTACTTTTTTAAAACATCGCCCTGTATACCCTATATACCCTGTATACCCTATAAACCCTGTATAGCCTATTCTTTCACTTTTGACGGGTTTTCTACTGCGATCGTTAAGATATTCAGTTCGGGGACTGCTTTATTTTGCAAGCGACCTAACGGGCGCATTAACATTTTTATAGAAATCTCCGGTGGCTGTTTGGGGTTATAGGAGGCGATTTTTTTCGGGTCGATTTTATGAGAGAGATTGATTTTCTATTATAATTTTTGTTTGCTATAGTTTATCTTTTATTAGCATTTTGTGTAATCTATACTAATATATAAAATTCTTAAGTGACTGACATACTGATTAATCACGATCCTGCTGAAACCACTCAATGTAAGAAGCTCAATTTTGGCATACAAGTTGATTCTAGGGTGCAGAGGTTCGATAAGAAGGGATTTTTCGAAATTCCAGTTTCAAGAGGGTGAAACCACCCCTCAAATATTACAATATTTTTTTTTTAAAAAAACGGACAAGTTTCCGAAAAAACGCTTAAACATGTATATTTTATTTTGTTTTTTTATATATTTTAAGATTTTTTAAAAATATATACAGGGTGTTTCACAAAATCTGGTCATTGATTAATCACGATCCTGCTTAAAGCGCTTGACGTAAAAAGCTGATTTTTGGAAAACAGATTGACTTTTCGGTGTACAGGTTCAATAAGAAGGGATTTTTCGAAACTCGAATTCTAAGGTGGTGAAACTATTCCTCAAATATTAAAATATTTTTTATTTAAAAACCGGTGAGTTTTTCGAAAAAACTCTTAAACACGTATATTTTATTTTGTTATTTTACATATTTTAAGATTTTTTATAAATTTATACAGGGTATTTAATAAAATATGGTCATTGAATAATCACGATTCTGCTTAAACTGCTTGACGTTTAAAGCCGATTTTTGGTAAACGGATTGACTGTGGGGTGTAGAGGTTCGATAAGGAGGAGTTTCTCGAATCTCAAATTCCAAGAGGGTGAAAACGCCCCTCAAATATTACAATATTTGTTATTTAAAAAACGGTTAGTCTTTCGGGAAAACGCTTGGACAAGCATAATTTATTTGGTTTTTTACATATTTTGAAATTTTTTAAAAAATCATACAGGGTGTTCCAAAAAGTTGGGTAATTTCTTAACCACGATTCTCTTCCCCTAGGAGATGCAAGACCTTGTCGTTGGTGGGGAAGCTCCTGGTCAGGTGCTGGGGGGAATCCCCTCTAGCACTTGGCTTGGTCTAAGAAGCATCTCACTCATCGTCTTGTCCCTGACTGTAGTGTTGTGGCCAGGGAATTGCACCAAGACATATAACAATACCAGGCGGGGCTACGGACAGCCCTCAACCTTAGGGCATCGGGGGCACCCCATTGTATTTTACCCCTTACTTCTACAGGCGGGGCTCTGTAGAAGTGGACCGACTTGTCCCTAGCGACTCATAGGAACACTATGAGATCTGGTAATAATAGTAATAAAAAACATCACCGGTGAAGCTGTGAGGGAAACCCCCCTAGCGACACTGAGAACAGTAACAATGAAAGTTCCAAGAAGCCAAACCCAAAGAGAACTACAGGAGAGGGTGGCTGACACTTCAGGTGAGACTATCCCTCCGCAAGTGGCATACATGCTACCACCTCCTCCAACGGTCGGGAGCCTACCTCCTACCTCTAAACCCAACAGGCGACACAAGCTACCGTTTAGTCTACCCCGCCTGGGTCATAGCTCCTCGACTGTGAGGGACACGGGTCTCCGTAGGAAGTCCTGGGACTGTATGATGAGTTATAACTCAAGAAAGGGGGACACAATAGATCTCTAAGGTCGCAGAGATTAACCCCCCTCCCACTTATTCTAATTCTAATTCTAACCACGATTCTGCTTAAACTGCTTGACGTAAAAAGCTTATTTTTGGCAAACGGATTTTTCGAAAGTCAAATTCCAACGAGATGAAACTACACCTCAAATATTACCAAGTTATATAATAATATCGCCATATTGTTTTTTCTCATGCTGACATAAATGTGAGAAAATTTTATCCAGTTTGTATGTTAATGGAAATTCTTGCTTTGCTTTATCATTACCATTACAAATGATTAATTCGACGCAAACGAAGTCGCCGGTACACGCTGGTTG